GGGCAGTGGGGGAAATGGGAGGAAGGGGGAGACATTTATTTTAAAGTAGAGGAGTAGGATAGTATATATATATGTGAGGCAGCGTGGTGGAATCAGGCTCTCGTCAATTTTTGGGCGTGTAGAGTTATTGGTATCATCTTATAGCTTGTTCACTTGTATTTATTTGGATGAAAAAAAATATCCATTTATCTTGAATACAAGTCGAGATATTTGCGAATAAAGGAGGTAGAGGTCATCTGTTTTTAGAGGTAAAATTAATGAGAAAATAGCCGCCAAAGATTAGTTATTTCCTTAGCTTAAAGTCCGTGGTAACTGAAAATTTTTATTTTTTGTACCTTTAATCAACGTTTTTCCAGAACAATCCACACAGAAATGAGTTCTTTACTGGGCAAGAAAGGTGTTCAGCCAAAAAACAAAAATTTAATAAAAATTCACAAACCTGCGGAAAAATGCAAGTTTGTTCACTTTGATTATTTTGACGAGAGCCTGATTCCACCACGCTGCCTCACATATAGCACAGGTTTCCCCCAGTGAACACAGAGTAAAGTTATTTGAGGTATCGTGGGACTTTTGGATTCCACATGAGATTATCTTAGACCGGACAGTTTTAGTTTTAGTAAGTGTTTTACGGAACTTGCAACACAATAAGGTCATATAAGTGCCGAAGATTAGCTAGAGGTGTTACAAAAGAGTAACAAACACAAAAAAAGAAGAAAAAAAGGGAGATAAAGACGATAGATGTTTGATTGGAGAAAGAAGAAACAATTAACCACACCAGAGCGCCCGCCAACCACCCACACTGGACTGTTTGACAGAGAGACAAAGAAAACACTCGGAGAGGCCAGAGGTAGAAATAATAGAGATCATAAAAGTAAACTTCAGCCCTTCATTCCAAACTTACTCTACCTACTACTGACTTGTTTTTGGTTTTTTAAAAGTTTTAGTAGAGGTTTTACGGCGCTCACAACTGCATAAGGTCATATGAGCGCCAGAAGATTAGAGGTGTTAAAAGAGAGTAACAAACATAAAAAAGAAGAAGGGGAGATAAGGACGGTAGATGTTTGATAGGAAAGAAGGAGCAAACCACACCGGAGCACCCGCCAACCACCCACTAACTTGTACTCACCAACTATAAACAGCCACACAGTGTTTTCGGTCCCTCCTCATGGGCCACATTCGGCCCACCGTAACGTCATTAGAGAAAGACCTACACACGCACGTTTCATTTATTTAAAGAATAGGGGGTTAAAAGAACTTAAAAAGAACTTAAAATTTCCTTTCCTGAAGAACTGAGTTTTGTTTGCTTGAGTAAAGAGAAGCACATCGACACAATAATGGTCATTTAGTGCTGGGAAAAAGTAAGACAGACAGACAGACAGACAGACAGAAAGACAGACAGATAGACAGAAACAACAGAGGGGAAAGTAAAGAAGTAGGACCTAACATAGGAGCCCTCCAACCACCCACATTTCTGAAGAATAAGGCTGAGTGAAGGAAAGACACAGAAGAAAGAAAGAGAGTGATATTAATTCTCTGGGGATATATATAATCGAAGGAGGTGAACACACACTGGATTTGAGTAGAAGAAACCACCGGTTTGTTAAAAATTACAGTTATCAATACGTATAAAGGTGGGCTAGCACCCAGCTATGGCGGCACGATCGAGTCAGGGTTAGAGATATCTGTATGTGAATCGAAATATTCACTAAAACGGGCCCGTGAACACAGATCAGGCGAAACTCATCGAGAACAATCTGTCCCCGTGGTTTTATGCGCCCCGCATAATTTAGCAAAATGTGATCATTTTTTGCATAATTTCTGATTATTTTCCTTTATCATTCTTTGTTAAAATTAACAGAATCACATAAGTTCACATTTTTGGGCTCAGTTTGCATAATTTCAGAATTTTTTTTCTTCATAAAACTGCGGGGACAGAACAATCTCTGACTTCTATTTAAATCCTAACTCATTCAAACTGTAGTTAGTTTTAGTTAAGTACTCTCCATCATCATGATATTATATCGTGTTGTGACACAAGCTAGTGTGCTCTGTCCTGCAAATCATACACACGACCATTTGCACACTCGGCAAAAAGCCACACCATTTATAACATCACAAATTATGCCACTGGGAACCAGAACAAGAAACAGGCTTGTTAAAAAAAACCCAACAACAAAAAAAATAATTTTTTAACCAAAAAAACAACAACCCATGAGTAGATCTAGTCAGCCAAATTGGAATCAACTCTGTCGGTAAAATCAGTCGTCATTTTACTCATGAGTACATGCTTTGTTTTTATAGCAAACAAGAATGCAGCTTGCAGGGGGGCTATGCCAAACAAAGATATCGTATATCCAGTTATCAAACCTGACTGGGTTTTTTAGCTCATACTGCGACATTTTTCCATCTATGAAAACTGACTGTTGCAGATGTACATAAGGTGCTAAATGATCCAAATTTTGGGGATTGGGGATTGGAGAGCGCGGGGGGGGGGGGGGGGGGGGGGGAGGTTGTAAAAAGACCTACTTTAAAAAAAAAATCTGAATAGGTTGAGACGAAAAACAGGAACAACACAATGGGTTCCGAATGCTAGTCGCAAACAGCCTGCGCCCATGTCTCAACCAATGGAAGCAATGAGTCTGACCTGCAACTGCAACTCAAAACAGACAATTTTGCGCATAAATCAGAACAGGTTACATCCAGCCACCACCAAAAATAAACACATTTATTAAATTTAATTATTCATGAAAAACAGCAGGGAACGTAACAAGTGGAAGAAAAATCAAATTCAGGGAAAGAATGAACACAGAAAAACGTTCCGGATATTGTAAGCATTTCCAAGGTCTTGAGTATCAATTTAACTCTTTTGTTTTCGTAAGAGTTTCACGCACTTGCAACACAATAAGGTCATTATATAAGAGCCGAAGATTAGAGATGTTACAATAAGACGGGAGTAACAAACACAAAATAGAAGGAGGGGAGATAAAGATGATAGTTGTTTGATAGGAAAGAAGGAGCAAACCACACCAGAGCACCCGCCAACGACCCACTTTAACTTTGTTTAAAATTTAACTCTGTTGCAATGTAGTTTACGTGGGGGAAAGTCTAAACGACAGGCACCGTCTCTGCTCTGACAACAGGGAGATGACAGGGAAGTGGAAACAGAACTCTGGTGTTTACTGCAACACGTCAATCACATATTATGCGTGCAAGAATACGCGAAGCCAAAGAGCTGACTGACACACAGACGAAACACACACTAGAACGGTGTTAAATTTTGAAATCTGTTTCTCAAATAATACTATTATATTATATGATCGGGATAAATAAATAGCCCCTTTTCAAACACTCATCCTCATTATCACCATTAACCCTTCTAGCCCCAAGCGCGTCGCGTATATTTTCAGCAGCGCTTGTACCTCCCTCCGTCCCAAGAGCGTATATTCTCAGTTTCAGGGGTGTACCGAATATGCGCATTTTTCGAAATTAGCTAACCTAATTCAACTTTAATTTTCAAAATATTTATTCATTTACCTTCAAACATTGTCGTACATTTTTATCTAAACCTCATTACAAAGATACTAAATCACTTTTTAGAATGCATGCCTCTTTTTCTGATATACCGCTGTATTGGCTGGGACTGGGGTTAGGGAGAGCACAAAAAGGGCTGGGGCTGGAAGGGTTAATGCCTTCCTGACACTTTCGCACCGACATCTGGGTATATAAATATATGTATATGTCTATGTCACAAACAATCACTTTCCACCGTACCCATCCTGGGCTAGCCGTTTGATGTTTTATCAGTTAGGTAGGAGAAAAAGTGTAGAATTAATTATAGTTATAGAGTGAACCTCTGAAGCAGAAAAAGCCTGCACCCAAAACATTCACTATAGACAGACTCTGTTGCACCTTGGTCCTCTATCACGAAGTAGACTGAGGTAAAATGACGCGCACACATAATATCGTTGCTGTGCTAGCAGAATGACACATCTCATTTTTGTTACTTTTGAGATTAAGGAAAAAACTGTTTGACTAGACTATTTATCATCTAATAACAGTAAAACTTGAAATACATATATGTTTCTTTTGTGACTGCCAGCGCATTTTTGTTTTGATTTTATCAAATAGATAGATATTTAAATAATAATAAATACCATCAAACAAAATAAAAGGCTAGTTGCATTTTGGCACAACTCTATATGAGTTAAGCCAATTTGCTCGCGCAGAGAAAGTATTCACAATCACATTCCCAACATCTTGACTTATAAATATAGCACATCCATATATACGACTTCCAATTATAACATTGCCATAAATATTTTCTAACAATATAAAACATAACGTAGATGGACATTGTATTTTTATTTTCATGCTCGACTAATTAATACAGAGCAACACGCTTTTCAAACGCTCAGACAGTCGGTAAAATAACAAACACACCAGCAGTGATAGAGCCCAGTATATGTTTTGACGTGGTGGAATCAGGCACTCGTCAGTTTTTGGGCATATGGAGTTGTAATTGGTACCTGATGTACTGTCTTAAAGCTTGTTAATTTGTCTTGCTTTTGATGAAAAAATATCCATCTATCTTGAAAATATCCATGTATCTTGAATAAAAGCTGAGATATTTGCTATTGAATGAGGTGGGGGTCCCTGGTGTCAGAGGTAAAATTAGTGAGAAAATGGCTGCCAAAATCTGGTCACCTCCAAAGCTTGAATTGTGAGGTTATGTTTATAATAAATGAACTACACAGAGAAGTCTTCTTCATGGATGACCTCAGAAATTGAAAATTTAAATTGTTTGTGCCTTTGGTGTGTTTTTAAATGAACATAAAAAGTGTTGAGCAAAAAAAAAAAAAAAAAAAAAGAATTTCGATAAAAATTATCCCCAGGGTGAAAAATGTCTCTTTCATCAATTTCATTATTTTTACGAGAACCTGATTTCATCACGATGACACACAGAAATATGTAAGCCCTATATCTTCATCAGTAAGTTCCTTTTTTTCTTCTTTTTACATGAACACAGCATACGGCCTCAGACGCATCCACTTGCTGCACTGTCAGGCAGGATGAGACTGACAGTCAAACTGACAGGAGCGCCCAGTGAAGTAGTGAAAAAAAAAAGACAAAAAAATTTTCATGCAAAGGGTTCTGATTACTTAACAACAATGCAAATAATTTTTTAAAAAAGACTTTGATAGACAAACCTCAAGTGATACAATGTTCTTTTAGTTTCTCAGTGAAAGAACTTTTTTTAAAAATAAAAAGGCTACCACAAAAATCATTCGTACAAATAAAATTTCTTTTGATGTGTCGATGACAATGGCAAAACTCTCAACGATGGTTTTCAATATATGTCAATTTCATGTCAAACTCTCAACGATGGTTTTCGATATACGTCAATTTCATGTCAAACTCAAAAGCACATTTATTCAGTTTCTCAATCATGTACTGTAACCAAAAAGACAACAAACTGGACAATTATCGATCAAATATAATAATGATATTCGTTTCTAAAAAAGGACATATTTGGTCTTAAAAGAAAAATGGCTGTTGACAAGACAAACATACGCAATAGTGAAGCTCTTCCAACTACTCAGCAAAGAAACTTAAAACTTCTTGTGCTTTCATAATGTGGAAAACAAACATAACATAAAAAAGAATCTGGCAAGGAGCAGTTCTCTGTATTCATATAACAATAATTAAAAAATCATCAAACTTTTAGCAAAGGGAAACATTTGTACTTCAACTGTTGGAAGGGTTTCTGATCAAGTGTCTAATATATATATATGCTCCTGAAATCCTGAAAGACTAAGATGCTATTTCCGTCACCTAACCTGAATTTCCACACTCGATGACGAAGACAACCCTTCTCGTTAATGTTCAGTATGTAGAGCACACACACATTGAACAAAGACTTTCAGAAACATTGTGTAGAAAAATGGTACAAAAAATAATCCTACCACTCCTTATTTTTTCTTCTTCGTTTTCTGTACATTGTCTTTTTCTTTCCTCTGCAGCTTCAATTTCTTCTTCTCTTCCTTCAGCCGTTGTTTCTCTCGTAAACTTGAGAACAATTTGTACGAGAAAAATCCTGAAAAATATTTTTAAAAGAAAAATCTGTAAATTATAAGTTTCATATATATATATTATATATCACAAGACTGTGGACTCACTGTCTACTTCTAGCCCACTCGTGACATATTTGGAACCCAGGTTATTGACAGTGTCACCTTCCTCAACCCAACATTCCCCCAACATCCCTCTATAGAGTAAATTTCACATCAAGTAAAAAAGTGAAATTAGCTGACACTTTTTCACTCATTTTGGTGTTAAGTTTTGCAAGAGCACGCTTTTGTCTGCAAGACTGGACCTGTAATTATCGATCACCTACAAGCCTAACACAAACAGAAGTCACACTAGCACTTCGTACTGATCGCAATGCTGAATACAAATCCGCGCTGTGCTTGTGATAAAAATTTTCTTTTTTTGGTAAGTGCTTTACGACACGCGCAACTGCATAAAAGGTCATATGAGTGCGAGGGACACAAGAATCATTTTCCGTAGGTAGGAAATTTTTTATTTTGCCCAGTTGGCAGCTGGAGCCTACTCTTATCGATTTTGGACAACCAAGGGATCTTTAACGTGTGCAACTTGCACACCGGACCTCTGAGATTTTTAGCCCTTATACTGAGAAGGCTAGGTGTAGATCTTTCCTACCAGGAGATCAGGAGTGTGGCAGAAAGACAACAGTACGAAGGAGCCAAGGAGTAACAGTAGAAAGGCTGCAGAAAGAGTCAGGAGCCCAGAGGAGGGGGCAAAGGGGGGTGGGGAAGGGAGCAGAAAGTAAAGACGAAAGCAGACGACAGAACATTTTTTAGAGATCAGGAGAGAATGTGAAAGGAGAAAATTTCCCATTGCCATCTGGATTCCTAATGAAGGAGAGGCAAACACCTTAACATCTAGACCATGAGAGCCCCCATGTTTATATTTGTGTGGGCCCTACAGAAGAAGTACAACAAGATAATTAGTTGTTTTTTTGTTTTTGTAAAGTGTTTTACGGCGCTCGCAACTGCATAAGGTCATATGAGCGCGCGGGACACTCCTAATATTTTCAGTTGGTAGGAAATTTTGAATTTTGCCCGGGTGGCGGCCGAAGCCTACTCTTATCGATTTTAGACCACCAAGGGATCTTTAACGTGCGCAACTTGCACACGGGCCCTCCGAGATTTTTCGCCCTTGTCCGAGAAGGCTAGGTGTAGATCTTTCCTACCAGAAGATCAGGGGTGTGGCAGAAAGACAGTAGTAAGGAGGAGCCAAGGAGTAACATTAGAAAGGCTGCAGAAAGAGTCAGGAGCCCAGAGGAGGGGGCAAAGGAGGTGAGGGGGTGGGGGGCAGAAAGTGGAAATGAAAGCAGACAACAGAACATTGCTAGAGCAGGAAAGGAGGTGAAAGGAGACAATTTTAGAGAAGAAAATTTTTTGGTCGCTACCCGGATTCGAACCCGGGACCTTTGAATGAGAGGCCAACACCTTAACCTCTAGGCCACGAGAGCCACCTATAATTAGTTGGCTGTATATGTAACATCTCATAAGCAAATAGGAATGGCACATTTTGCTAATTTCCATTATGTCTACTCCACGGTACAGCACAAAGCTAAAACTAAAACTATGTATTTTTGCTAATTAATTACCAAGTTATAGGGCCTATGAAGTGAACAGGGTAACCGGTCATTTCGCCACACGGTCATCTCGTCACACCCTAATTTTGTGTAACGAAATTACTTCGCTTATAAATACTTTTATAATAGATCTCTTCAAAATTCTATGCTAACGTTCTAGTTTTGAAGGATCAGCCAAAAGCTTTTTTTTTGAAGTTGTATAAATGATTAATTATGTAGGCCTAAATAAAATCTTTGCCCAAACAGTTCTATAATTGAACAATAGTTTAAATTATAAGGTAAAAACAGTAGAGAGTTAAAATTTAATAATTAAGGCTTTGTTTGAAATAGGGGTCTAGCAGTACTGTACATTTCTATTAGATTATTAATTTATTTTTTAACAAAATTAATATACATATATGATCTTGCCAATCACAGCTTTCATCAATAATAATACCTCAAAACTTTGTTGATCTGACTTGATAGATTTTAACATATACAGTGGAAACCTGATATAACAGGGATGACGGGAGTAGAGAAAATGTCCTGTTATATCCGATCCCTGTTAAATCAGAAATGCAAAGGAAGGTAGGCATTTGTGGACTAATCCAGCTGTACTTATTCATGGGTAGTTTCCCTTGCCACAAGTACCCACGAACAGGGGTTTTGGCACCAACTTTCGCCTTGCCTCCTTAAACCACATCAGAAAAGCTTGGTCCACAACATCTGCATCGGGTAGTCTCATGTTCTTTCGATCCAGAGCAAACTTTCCATTGGAGTATGCTGCCACTATCCTCTCTCTATCCTTGATGATGGTGTGAATCAACCCTTGTGGAATGTCGAACTGACGACAAATCTCTGCCTGTGGAGCTTGCTTTTTGTCAACAGCCTGGATTATTTCGTATTTTTGTCAATTGAAAGGCATTTTCTCTAGTGCTTGACATCGTTGGTGACACACTATGCATGCGTGTTGCTAGGTTTCAGGCGAGATCGAGGTCTGTGGCACACCGCAGCCCTCTCTCGCTTCACACGCTGCGTGTGCTTGCAGTGGCATAGCTTGCGTGGCTTGCTCCATCACTGCTTTACTCTCTCTCTCTTATTTTTACACATTGTTAACGAGCCTTTGTCCCTGCTATAACCGGTTGGGCTCCGATGAGGCCCTGTTATTGCCGATAACTTTTAATAGAGACAAAGAGTAGGAAAAAACGGGGATTTTAAAAATCCCTGTTATTACCGGATCCCTGTTATTACTGGGCCTGTTATATATGGTTTCCACTGTATTGTTAATACGTATTTATGAAAAGAAAGGTGTAGCTGATCAGATAGGCACGACGACTCGCACAGCCACCCCCCCACCCACCCCTTCCACACACACACACCCAACCCTTCCCCAAAAATCGAGATTAGCGATTGCCATGACAATGCGTGTTTGATGTTCGCAAGTGTGTTTCGAAACGACCGTCTCCAATCAACCTTGTGGATTTGGGGTGTGACGAGATGACTGTGACTTCTTGACTGCATCGGATCGGTGTGACAAAATGACTGCATTGTAGGCCTATTCAGGAACAGGGGTTAAAAGGTTCTATAATTGGTACAAAGGACCATACTAGCAAATTAATAGCATTCATTTCATGGGGGATGGGGGTGGGGGTAATGGTCCAGTAGTTGCTAGAGCCTCAAGACTGAATCAAAGATGCCAGATCTAAATCTAGACTAGATCTAGATGCTCTCTGACTTTCATCACCTCAGTTTTAGTTTCATTTTGACTTTATAAAATGCTCCATTTTCAAAAGTGGACTTTTATCTTTTATCCATTTTTTATCCCCGTGGTCCACAACTCTAACAATGAGCAAATAGGCAAAGACTCATACTGACCTTTGAACCCCCGTTACAAATCACAGCAACATTTCATTCATCATAGTCACACAAAAAAAAACAGCCATAAAATTATGATAGTAAGTGACAACGAAAGTCTGTAGCCTATTACCCTGTTGAAATAAAACTTGAAACCCACATCCTATTCCTAAAGTATAAATTCAATTTTACCTCTGCTTCACAGTTTTGAAATGCCGACATTACTTTAAATATACGCTCACTAAACCTGGGCTGAAACGGACCATTCTGGCTGGTCGCAACGTGTGAAGGAAAAATCAACATTGCGGCACATGACAGATTTGACAGACCTGGTAACATATTGAAAGTGTTTTCACAATTATCAACCTTTCTTACCTACTAAAGCGATTATAATTATGCCAGGAATTATGAAAACGGTATTATCAATATTCTCTTTGACTGGACCAGAGCCAAACTCAACCATGGTGCTTGCATGAATAGGAAAATTATAATGAAAGTAGGAAGCCTCGCACAAGCACTAGCAGACAAGTTTTACAGCTGGAAAACCGGAAGTTGACGTTTGATACAGAGCAACCGAAAATGGTGGATAGGAATAGATACTGTTGATCTCTATTTTATCCAGGCTACTGTGGGGGTGTTTTTTTTTGGGGGGGGGGGTTAAATCAA